GCTAATTTAAATGACATAAAAGGAATGAACGATCATGCTGAAAAATTATATAATGAAGTAGGTAAATATCAAGCTTATACAAATATATCTTATATGGATTATCCCAAAGAATTCTTACCTCATTTTAAAGTAATAGTAGATCAATTATTTGGTATTAGAAAAGTTATGAATGAATTAGTGCATAGCTCAATGTATAATGTAGAATTAAATTCTGTAGGTTTATTACCTTATTACGAAAAAGAACTCAATAGACTTAACGAAATAACACAGGCTAATTTTACAATGTATGTAGAAACAATATTTCATAATGCTAATTGAATGTCTGGAATTCTAACTTAGAATTATAATATTTACACAATAAATATTTATTGTAAAATAAGGTTATGATGTAGATGGTTTACACTTAGATTGCAAATCTAAAGTATGAGGTTCGATTCCTCCTTAATCTTTTTGGGATGATATTATAATATAAATCTTTTAAATTCTTATTAGCTTAATGGTAGAGCAAGATACTTCTAATATCCTGATTCTAGTTCGAATCTAGAATAAGAATTTTCATTTTTACAATTTTTAATTTCAAAATTTAGTACTATTTAGTTAAATATTTATATTACCATCAATACTTTTAAAAAATATATTTTAAATTCTTCTATTTCTATGTCAACAGAAAGATGATTCCTATCTACAAATGCTAAAGATATTGGAACTCTTTACTTAATATTTGCATTATTCTCAGGTTTATTAGGAACAGCTTTTTCAGTATTAATAAGAATGGAGCTTAGTGGACCAGGTGTTCAATATATAGCTGATAATCAATTATATAATAGTATAATTACAGCTCACGCCATTTTAATGATTTTCTTCATGGTCAACAAATGAAGACTATTTAATCTTAAATTTCAATATAGTTCTATATTATGTAATAACCAAAACAGTAATATTTCTATTACAGAAAACAAAAATAACAATAATTCTAATAGAAATAATGACGATAATGAAATACCTAAATATACTAAAATATATATAGAAAACCCTTTTAATAATAAAAATCTTGTTTCAAAAGTATCAAAGAATCAAAAAGGTGTTTATATTTGAGAAAGTAATAATCATGCTTACGTAGGACATTCTATTAATCTATATAATAGAATAAGTTCTTATTTTATGCCTTCTATTCTTAAAACTAAAGCACGTAGAGTACTACGTTATTTTAATAAACATGGATTTCAAGATACAAATCTAACTATTTACATAATGAATGAAAATTCTAGCTTAGATGAAATTGTAAGATTAGAACAACATTTTATTGATACTTTAAACCCAAGTTTAAATGTAGATTTAGTAGCAAGTAGTTCAGGTTATCATGAACCTATGAGCCAAGAAATAAGAGAAAAATTACGTAAACAAAGAGGTACTCCTGTATATATTTATAATGCAGAGGATTTCACTTTATTATATGTATTTGAATCAAAACAACATATATATGATTCAATTAATATTCATCATAAAACTTTAAATAATTGTTTAAATGGAGGTACAATATATTTAGATACTTTCTTTTTGTCTTTAGATAAAATAGAGGAATCCGAAAATATAAATTTATTAATTCTCGAAGAATTAAAGGAATTAGTAAATAAAACCCGTGATACATATGTGATTAAACATCCCACATCTATCTCAATATTGGCAAAATTTAAAGATGATTCTAGTAAGAATTTATTATTTCCATCTTTAACTAGCTTAGCCAATCATTTAAAAGGAGATCGTCAAACCATTAGACAATACTTAAAAGGAGAAAAATCAGGTTATTACAGAGGAAAATGAAAATTTATATATAAAGATTAAATAGAAAGGCATGGCCGGGTAAAGTAGAAATATTTTACTTTCTTTTCACTATTTGCTGGAATCCCCTTAGAGCCTTTAAAACTAGTACCGCAGACTAAATGTTAGCAGTGGAATACAGTGACATATTAAAGGATTGGGCAATCAGCAGGAAACCAAAGATAATTTTATTATCGAGTAGGTTCCTCAGAGACTACACGTGAAATATCTTAATGAATATTATTATATTTAAAGATAAAGATATAGTCCGTTCGTATATGAAAATATAGGAGTAAAACGTATGCCTGCTTTAATAGGAGGTTTTGGTAATTTTTTATTACCTTTATTAGTAGGTGGACCTGACATGGCATTCCCTAGATTAAATAATATAAGTTTTTGATTATTACCTCCTAGCTTAATATTATTAATATTTTCAGCATGTATAGAAGGTGGAGCAGGTACAGGTTGAACTATCTACCCTCCATTATCTGGAATACAAAGTCATAGTGGTCCTAGTGTGGATTTAGCTATATTTGCTCTTCATTTATCAGGGGTAAGTAGTTTATTAGGTGCAATTAACTTTATAACTACAGTAATTAATATGAGAACACCAGGTATAAAATTACATAAATTATCTTTATTTGGATGAGCTGTTGTTATAACAGCAGTTTTATTATTATTATCTTTACCTGTTTTAGCTGGTGGTATTACTATGGTTTTAACAGATAGAAATTTTAATACTTCTTTCTTTGAAACAGCCGGAGGTGGTGATCCTATTTTATTCCAACATCTTTTCTGATTTTTTGGTCACCCAGAGGTTAAATTTGTAAGCCTCTTAATATCGCTATATGCTGGAAAAGCTTCGCTATCTAGTTTTAAATACTCCCTCTTAATTGATATAGTAAAAAAGTTAAAACAATGAAGTCAATCAGCAGGTAACATTCTTAAATTTAAAAATGAAACCTCAGAGACTATACGCGATAATACTGAAAATATAAAAAATATATCTATTCATGTTCCTGTACACTTAAAACCATTAAATGATCAACAATTTGGGCATTATTTAGCAGGTTTAATAGATGGAGATGGACATTTTAATTCTAAACAACAATTAGTAATTGTATTTAATTCTCCAGATATTAAATTAGCTTATTATATTAAAGAAATAATAGGGTTTGGTCATGTAAATAAAGTTAAAAATAAAAATGCTTATTTATATATTATATCTAATAAAGAAGGTATAATTAAAACAATAAATTTAATTAACGGTAAATTAAGAACTATTAGTAAATTTAATCAAGTTATTAATAATATTTTATCTAATCCTAAATATTCAGAAGAAAAATTAGAATTTAAAATTAATGATTCTAATGATTTTGATAATCACTGAATAGCAGGATTTTCTGATGCAGATGCTAGTTTTCAAATTAAAATTATTAATAGAGATAATAAACTTAAATCTGAAATTAGGTTGAACTTTCAAATAGATCAAAAAAATAATAATATATTACTATTAATTAAAGATCTATTTGGTGGGAATATAGGTTATCGTAAAAGTCAAGATACTTATTATTACGGGTCAACTAGTTTCGGTTCAGCTAAAAAAGTAGTAAATTATTTTGATAGATTTCATTTACAATCTAGTAAACATATTAATTATTTAAAATGAAGAAAAGCATATATAATAATACAAAATAAAGATCATTTAACAGAAACAGGAATAGAAAAAATAAAAAAATTTAAAAATTCAATTAATAGATATTCAGTATAAGATAGAGTCCTAACAAGAATGAAAGTTCTTGAGTATTAATTTTAATAGATCTTATTAGACTATTTTATTAATCAAAGTATTTGTTACATTTTAATTATACCAGGTTTTGGTATAATTAGTACAACTATTTCTGCTAATTCTAATAAATCAGTATTTGGGTATATAGGTATGGTTTATGCTATGATGTCTATAGGTATATTAGGATTTATAGTTTGAAGTTGAGTAATGATGGCTTCACCCTATAGCGATATAGGGAATAAAATTAATTTCGCTATATGCTGGAACAGTTTAGTGCTAATTAGTACCTTGTACGGTAAAAATCTAATTAGTTATACTCAATCAGCAGACAATCTGTCCCTGTATTCTTTAAATGACAACAAACAGAGTGTCTCAGAGACTACACGCGAAACATCTTTTAACTTTTCTAAGTTTCATGTTTATTATAATACATTATTTAAAAATAAAGATCCTATTTCAAATGAATGATTAACTTGATTTGTAGGGTTCGCAGAAGGAGATGGAGCTATTCAAACTTATGCTAAAGGTAAGAGAGTTCGTTTTGTTCTTACTCAAAAAGAAAGTAATATACTTTATAAAATACAATTTAAATTAAACATCGGTGTTATTAAACATTTTCCTCAAGGAAAAAGCGGTAAAAATAATGATTTTTTTAGATGAATAGTTGATAATCCTTCACATATTTTACTTTTAGCTTTTTTATTTAATGGAAATTTAGCTCAAAACCATAGAATTGAACAATTAACTAAATGAGTTAATTCTTTAAATAATCGTTTTGGTAATGAAACGATTAAGTTAAATAATATTCCTGTTACAATTACATTACAGGATGCTTGATTATCAGGGTTTACTGATGCTGAAGGTTGTTTTAATGTATCTATTACTACAAATTGTAGATATACATTAGGACATGTTATAAAAATGCGTTATATATTAGATCAAAAAGATAGTATTATACTAAATAAAGTATATGAATTATTTGGATTTGGTAAAGTAACACTAAGATCTCGTACTGTAGATGTTTATCGTTATACAGCTACTGGATTTAAAGTATTAAATAATGTAATAACTTACTTTAAATTGTTTCCATTACAAACTAAAAAAGCTTTTTCTTTAAAAAATTGATTAATTATTCATAATCAAATATCTAATAAATTACATTTGACTGAAGAAGGATTATCACAAATTAGAATTTTACAAAAAAGAATTAATTTAAATAATAGTATAACAAATAAAACAGGAAAAGCTTAAAGATGAAGATATAGTCCGACACTTTTTGTGAAAAAAGCATACATAATTTGTATGGGTAAATTTAAAATATTTATTAACGGTTTTGCATCACATGTATACAGTAGGTTTAGATGTTGATACAAGAGCTTATTTTACTGCAGCTACATTAATTATAGCTGTACCTACTGGTATTAAAATATTCTCATGATTAGCAACTTGTTATGGAGGTTCTATTAAATTAACTCCTTCTATGTTATTTGCTTTAGGTTTTGTATTTATGTTTACAATTGGAGGATTAATAATCCACTTAGTTCTCCCTTTAAAGATCACTATATGCTGGAAACTTCTAACAATTATACTACTAGTAGTTTATTTAATTACAGTGACAATGTATAATTTTGAACAATCAGCAGGTAACCAACGGATGTCTAAAAATATCCTAGTAGGTACCTCAGAGACTACACGTGATCCATGCTATGCATGAAGTTATAGTCCGTGAAATAATAAATCATTAACTTCTTCATTAAATCATAAACTTACCTGCTCTAGAATAACTAAAAATTTTATCCGTAGTTATTCTTCTGATAATAAAGATAATATAAATACTTTAATTCCTGTCATAATTTATAATAATTTTAAAGAGGATAGGTCTAAAATTTTAAAAGAACAAAAAGATAAATCAGGTATTTATTGTTTAATTAATAATATTAATAGTCACTCATATGTAGGAAGTTCTATTAATCTTGCTTCTAGAATGAAAAATTATCTTAATAATACTTTTTTAAAAAGTAGACAAAATATAAATATGCCCATTGTAAAAGCTTTGTTAAAATATGGTCAAGATAATTTTAGTTTATATATAGTAGAATATGTAAATGTTGAATCTCTAATAAATAGAGAAACTTATTTTATTACATCTGTTTTACCTCACTATAATGTATTAAAACAAGGTTATTCTTATTTAGGTTATAAACATACAGAAGAGACTAAAGAACTTTTATCGGAATTAGCTAAAAACAGAGTACATAGTGATACAACTAAAAGTTTAATTGCTAAAGCATTAACAGGTGAAAATAACCCTTTTTACAATAAAAACCATTCTATGGAAAGTAAAGTAAGAATGATACAAGCGAATTCAGCTTACCCTGTTTATGTGTATAATTCTTATAAGGAATTGTTAGTAATCTATCCATCTGTTACAACTTTAGCTAAATTAATTCAATCGAATCATCCCACTATAGTTAATTCTATAAAAGAACAAACTATTTTTAGAGGAGAATGATATTTTACTAATTTACCTTATAATATAAATGATACTCCTTTAATAACAAATTGAAATTCTAAAGAAGCTGAAGAATTAATTATAAGTATAAATAAAAATAGTAAAATTAGAAAAGGAATATTTGTATATGATGAAAATAGAAATTTTATTTCTAAATATGAAGGAGTTACAGATGCTCAAAGAGCTTTAAATATAAATCATAGCACTATTAAAAAGTATGCCAAAATAAATGGTACCTATGGTGGTTATATATTTAGCTATCAGCGTTTAAATGATTAATTATTCGTAAGTGGAGTTCTTTTAGCTAATGCTGCTTTAGATACTGCTTTCCATGACACTTATTATGTAGTTGCTCATTTTCACTATGTTTTAAGTATGGGTGCTGTATTTGCATTATTCAGTGGGTGATATTTCTGAATACCTAAAATATTAGGTTTAAGTTATAACATATTATTATCTAAAGTTCACTTCTGATTATTATTTATAGGGGTTAATTTAACATTTTTCCCTCAACATTTCTTAGGTCTACAAGGAATGCCACGTAGAATAAGTGATTATCCTGATGCTTTTGCAGGTTGAAATTTAGTTAGTAGTTTTGGTTCTATAGTTAGTGTTATAGCTTCTGGATTATTTTTATATATTGTTTACAAACAATTAATAGATAATAATCCTGTAGGAAGATTCCCTTGATTAATGCCTCAATATTTTACTGATGCTTTACAAACATTATTAAATAGAAATTATCCTAGTTTAGAATGAGCTTTAACTAGTCCACCTAAACCTCACGCATTTGTAAGTCTTCCTTTACAATCTAATGTGATTAATTTATTTATTTAATTATATATTTATATATATTAATATATATAAATATATATTATTATTAGCTTAATGGTAAAGCAAAATATTAAAAAATATTTTTAATTTAGTTCAAATCTAAAATAATAATATAAAATTATTTTATTATGATTATAATATATTCCTATTATTATTATCATTACTATAAAATAAATAATTTTTATTTAAAAATGTTATATTTTCCTACGTTAATTTCTATCTTGGAAGTTGTTTTAGTAATGGTTCCTGCTTTACTTGCTATAGCATATGTAACAGTGGCTGAAAGAAAAACTATGGCTAGCATGCAAAGAAGATTAGGTCCTAATGCTGTTGGTTATTATGGATTATTGCAAGCATTTGCAGATGCTTTAAAACTTTTATTAAAAGAATATGTAGCTCCAACTCAAGCTAACATTGTATTATTTTTCTTAGGTCCTGTAATAACTTTAGTGTTTTCATTATTAGGATATGGTGTTATACCATACGGACCTGGATTAGCAATTAGTGATTTTAATTTAGGTATTTTCTATTTATTAGCTGTATCATCTTTATCTACATATGGTATATTATTAGCAGGTTGAAGTGCTAATAGTAAATATGCTTTTTTAGGTTCTTTAAGAAGTACTGCCCAATTAATTAGTTATGAATTGGTTTTAAGTTCTGCTATATTATTAGTAATTTTCTTAACAGGTAGTTTAAATCTAACTGTTAATATGGAAGCACAAAGAGCTATTTGATTTATATTACCTTTATTTCCTATATTTATAATATTTTTCATAGGTTCTGTAGCTGAAACTAATAGAGCTCCCTTTGATTTAGCTGAGGCTATTTTTCTTTAGATTTGGCCTCTTTAAAGATTACAAATTGCTGGAAAGTCTTAATTAAGAAAATCAGCAGGAATTCAACTTTATAAAGTTGAGTCTTCAGAGACTAGAGGTAATCGTTTAATATTTAATATTAAATATGGTATAGTCCAGACTTATATAATAATATAAGATTAATAACTCAAAATTATTTTATAAGTACTTATAAAATAATTTTGAATAATTCGGAGTCTGAATTAGTTAGTGGATTTATGACAGAACACGCAGCTGTCGTATTCGTATTCTTTTTCTTAGCAGAATATGGTAGTATTGTTTTAATGTGTATATTAACAAGTATATTGTTTATAGGGGGATATTTATTTATAGGTAGTTCTCTGATAAATTTAACTTTATACTTATCTGGTACTAATTTTATAATTAATAATATAATAAACAGTCCAATATTAGAAGGTTTATTATATGGTTTAAGTTTAGGAATAAAAAGTTCTATGATGGTATTTGTATTTATTTGAGTTAGAGCTTCATTTCCTAGAATTAGATTTGATCAATTAATGGGATTCTGTTGAACTGTATTATTACCTATTATATTTGCAATAATAATATTAATCCCAGCTATTTTATATAATTTTGTATTATTTCCTATCAATATTAGTTTACTTTAATATATAAATATTATATTTATATAATCATAAGATTTCTTACATATGATGTATATTTTTTAAACCATAATATTTTAGGCTTACTTATATACTTTAAATAAATAAAAAAGGAATGTTATTATCTTTTTTATTATTAGTACCTTTAATAGGTATTTTTTTTATTGCAGGATCTATTTCTTATGATAATAATGTATTGAAAACTACATATTATAAAAATGTTGCTTTAATTACATCTATAATAAATTTAATTATATCTTTAATTGTATATATATTATTTGATTCTAATACTAATCAATTTCAATTTGTACAAGAACATTATAATTTAAGTTTTTTTGATATTTATTTAGGAGTAGACGGTATATCTATATATTTTGTATTATTAACAACAATAATAATGCCTATAGCTATATTATCTAATTGAAATTCAATAACAGAAAATATAAAATCTTATTTAATAATAATGTTATTATTAGAAACATTATTACTAGCTATTTTTTTAGTTTTAGATATATTATTATTTTATGTATTTTTTGAAAGTACATTACCTCCTTTATTTTTATTAATAGGTTTATTCGGATCTAATAATAAAGTTAGAGCCAGTTTTTATATATTTTTATATACATTATGAGGATCATTATTTTTATTATTATGTATATTAGCTATGTCTTCAATCATGGGTACTACAGATTTTGATGCATTATTTAAAACTAATTTTGATTATATTACACAATTATTCTTATTCGGAGGAATATTCTTATCATTTGCAGTTAAAACTCCTACAATTTTTTTAAATAATTGATTATTAAAAGCTCATGTTGAATCTCCTTTAGGCGGAAGTATAATACTAGCGGCTATAGTTTTAAAAACTAGTTTATATGGTATTTGTAGATTAATTTTACCTATATTACCTAAAGCATCTATTAATTTTACATATATTGTTTATGTAATAGGAGTTATTACTATAATTTATGCTAGTTTCAGTACATTAAGAACTACAGATGTAAAAGAATTAATAGCTTATAGTTCTGTATCTCACGCTGCAGTTTATTTAATAGGAGTATTTAGTAATACAATACAAGGTATAGAAGGAAGTATAGTTTTAGGTTTAGCTCACGGATTTGTTTCAAGTGGTCTATTTATATGTGCGGGAGGTATATTATACGATAGATCTGGAACTAGATCTATTTATTTTTATAAAGGTATAGCTCAAATTATGCCTTTATTTTCTATATTATTCTTCATATTATCTTTAGGTAACTGTGGAGCTCCTTTAACTTTAAATTTTGTAGGTGAATTTATGTCTCTTTATGGAGTATTTGAAAGATTACCTTTATTAGGTGTATTTGCTAGTTTATCTATTATATTTTCAGCTGCTTATACAATCTATATGTTCAATAGAATAGCTTTTGGAGGTACATTTAGTAAATTTTTTTTAGAAAATATATCTGATATTACAAAAAGAGAATTTTTCTTACTATTTATTTTAGTATTATTTACTGTAATTTTCGGTATATATCCATCTTTTATATTAGATGGTTTACATTATTCTGTAACAAATTTAATTTATTATTCATAAAATTTTCAATTAAATAATTAAGATTAATATTTAAGTATTTAATTAAAAAAAAAAATAACAATGCCACAATTAGTACCTTTTTATTTTTTAAATGAAGTAGTATTTACTTTTACTATAATTACAATTATTTTATATATATCATCTAAATATATATTACCTAGATTCGTACGTTTATTTTTATCACGTACATTTATATCTAAACTTTTTGATAATAAATAATTATAACATAATTGTATTTAACAAGGATTTTTCAAGACATATTATATAGCTTAGAGGATTATGAATACTTTAAGCAGTAATAATTTTAATACAATAAATTTAGAAACACTTAGTCCATTAACTCAATTTGAAATAAGAGATTTATTAAGTATAGATGCTCCTTTATTAGGAAATTTACATATTTCTTTAACAAACATAGGATTTTATTTAACAATAGGTGGTTTCATAATATTAGCTTTAAATTTATTAAGTACAAATTATAATAAATTAATAAGTAATAATTGATCTATTAGTCAAGAAGCTTTATATGCTACTATTCATAGCATAGTAACAAATCAAATTAATCCTAAAAAAGGTCAAATATATTTTCCTTTTATTTATACATTATTTATCTTTATATTAATAAATAATTTAATAGGAATGATACCTTATAGTTTTGCTTCAACAAGTCATTTTATTTTAACATTTTCTTTAAGTTTTACTATAGTTTTAGGTGCAACAATTTTAGGATTTTTAAAACATGGTTTAAAATTCTTTTCTTTATTAGTACCCGCTGGTTGTCCTTTACCTTTATTACCTTTATTAGTTTTAATAGAATTAATATCTTATTTAGCTCGTAATATTTCTTTAGGTTTAAGATTAGCCGCTAACATAATGTGAGTATAGGTATCTCACTCATTGTGTATAAGAGCCAAATTCCGGGGAAGCCCTAAAGTTCTAATAACTAAGTTTTAAAAGGAAACTTTTAAAATGGCCCAGCTAATCACTGTGGGTATAGTAATATCATTAGAAATTCTAGTAATAGGAATGGGTAATCGCGGATCTAAGTCAGTAATATATTAGTATATTATTGTAAAAGAGCAACGAGTAGATGGTTCTTCAATATTTAAATATTGTAAGGTGTACTCTAGTCGCCGGGAAAGCCGGTTCTTGGAAGAAACTAAGTAAATCAAGATTAAAGATATCACAATAGCCTATCCTTAAATTCATTATTACAATTCCTTTAAAGAAAAGATTTATGTCTTTTAAAGAAAGGATTAATTTGTGAACTGATTTCATTATCAAATACAATCAATACTAAACAAAATAAATCTAATTTTAATAATATATCAAGACAATATAGTTTAATCTTATATAAAAATAAATTAAATTTTAAACCATTAAATTCTAGACATTTTTCTACTTTGAAACCTTCAAGTTCAATTATTTTTTCAAACGCAGATGAAAATAAACAAGATATACTTAAAACAGTTAAAGGTAAGTCTGGTATTTATATGTGAATTAATTTGTTAAATAATAAAAAATATATAGGGAGTTCTGTAGATTTAAGACGAAGATTTTTAGAATACTATAATATTAATAGATTATTAAATGAAACAAGTATGCCAATATATACTGCGTTATTAAAATATGGTTATAAAAATTTTAGTTTAATTATATTAGAATATTGTGAAGTTGATAGTTTAATATTAAAAGAGAAATATTTCTTTGAAGAATATTCTCCTGAGTATAATATATTAAAAACTCCAGGTAGCCCTGATAGAGGATCAGGATGAAAACATTCAGAAGCTACATTAGAAATTATGAGTATTGCCGCACAAAAAAGAAATGAATCATCAGAGTATTTAGCTAAATTATCTTTAGCTCAATCAAATAGTACAGAAATCGAAGTATTGGATATAAAAACTAATATTTCTACTAAATATCATGCTATACGAGCAGCAGCTCGTGCTTTAAATATCGATAAAAGATATATTGAACAATATATTTATTTAAATCAAGATAAACCTGTTTTAGATAGATATACATTTAAATTATTATTAATAAGTCTATAGAAAAGTTACAAAAAACTTCCATAACTTTAGAAGTTACTAATATAGAAACTAAAGAAATAAAAGTATATTTTTTAATAGGTGCTGCAGCTAGAGATTTAGGTTACTATCAAGCTAGTATATCTTTATATTTAAAAGAAAATAGAACTAAACCTTTTAAAGGTATATATTTATTTAAAATATTAAAAGATAATAAATAGCTAAATTTAAGGATTAATTTGTGAACGAATGAGTGGTCACATGTTATTACATATATTAGCAGGTTTTACTTATAATATAATGTCTTCAGGTATATTATTCTTCTTCTTAGGTTTATTACCTTTATCATTTATTATAGCTTTTGCAGGATTAGAAATAGGTATAGCATTTATACAAGCTCAGGTTTTTGTAGTTTTAACTTCTTCTTATATAAAAGATGGATTAGATTTACATTAATAAAAAAAATTAAAATTTAAGGATAAATAATGAGGAAAGTCTATAGTTCTATATACGTATGTATATATATATAAATAAAAATATTAAGCTATAAATAGAAAATGTCAATATATTAATAAATAATTTAATATTAAATAATAAAATTATATTGCGAGAATACAATCTAATAGTAGAATCTAAATAGAAAGTTTAACAGAAAATAGCTTATATTTATCCTTAAAACTATTTAAATATAAAATATTAAGTGATGTAAATTATTTATTTACATTTTAATAAATGAGTTTAGTGATGGCTCTGAATAAATACTGTCCAAATGTCTGACACATGCTAATCGAACGTTTAATAAATTAATTTTATTAAAAGTGGTGAACAGGTGAGTATTATATTATTAGTATACCTTAAGGTACGGAAAGAAAATTCCGTATATTAATAAAGGAAAATCCGCCTTAAGAAAATTAGATAATAAATAGAGATAGGTAGTTGTTAAGGTAATGGCTTAACTAGCCAAGGATTCTCTTAGTTGAGACTGAAAAAGGTTAATCAACCACATTGGGGATGAAAAAATCTCAAGACAATAAAGTACAGCAGTGAAGAATTTTGGTCAATAGCCTAACGGCGGAACTGGCAACTTGGAGGAATGGCCTATAATTTAATGTGTTTGAGTGTTAAATTAGATTAGTATAGATTGAAAAGGTTAAATCGTATTGCGAATAAAATTCTAAATATATATATTATAGTGACAATGTATATTTATGTCTTGACTAAATTACGTGCCAGCAGTCGCGGTAATACGTAAGAGACTAGTATTATTCATCATCAATAGGTTTAAAGGGTACCCAGACGGAAGAAATTACCTAAAATAGGAATTATTTCTATCTAGAGTTTAATGTGAAAAGGTAGTATCTATGGAGTAAAGTAAGAAATAAAATTCTGTGATCCCAATATAGACTGGTAAGCGAAAGCAACCTTTTATATAAAAACTGACGTTGAAGGACGGAGGCTAAGCTAATAAAGAGGATTAGAAACCCTCGTAATCTTAGCAGTAAATTATGAATGTCATAAAAAAAGAATATTTTTTTATAAATGAAAGTGTAAACATTTCACCTTAAGAGTAATGTGGCAACGCAGGAACTGAAATCACTAGTCCGTTTCTGACACCAGTAGTGAAGTATGTTGTTTAATTCGATGATCCACGAAAAACCTCACCACAAATTGAATTATTTATATATTAAATGTAAAATTAGTATATAAATAACAAGTGTTGCATGGCTGTTTTAAATTAATGTTGCGAAACTACAGCGATAGTTGTAAAATTGATATGAACCCTTACCTTATTTATAAAATTTTTTTATAAGGTTTTTATCTTTATTTGATAAAATAAACAGGGACTAAGACAAGTCATCATGGCCTTTATATTGTGGGCTACAGACGTGCCGCATGTATCTAGACAAAGAGATGCAAAAATTAAAATTTAAGCTAATCTCTAAAATAGAATAAATAGGATAAGAATTGTAGTCTGTAACTCGGCTATATGAATAAGTAATTGCTAGTAATCGTGAATCACCATGTCACGGTGAATCCCATCTCGGTTTGGTACTAACCACTCGTCGCATGCTGAAAGGAGTGTGTACAATAAGTTTGCTTACTTATTTTAATAAATTAAAAAACAAGGTTTTGATTTTATAATAGGTTTCTTCATATGTACACTTCTAATTAGTGTTAAGTCGAAATACGGTTCGTGTAGCGGAAGTTGCACGGGAAAAATGGCCCTGGTCTCTTTTTTATAATTAATATATAAATATATATTGTATAATTTTTACATTATACATTAAGGAGGGTTCCTTTATTGGTAAGAAGGGTTGAGCTGTAAACTCAATAGCTACACTAGCTTTAAGAGTTCGAATCTCTTGTCTCCTATATATTATATTTAATTACATATTTTTATATTAATTTTTTAACCTTCTATAGCTCAACGGTAGAGCATGATACTGTTAATATCAGGATAAATGTTCGATTCATTTTAGGGGGACATGTAATATGTATATTCTGACTATTATAAATACGCAAAAATTTTTTAATTAAATTATAACTTTTTAGATAAGTAAGTGAATCAAGAAATCAGAAGTAATTTTCAAGATCATCCCTTTCATCTGGTATCTCCTTCTCCTTGACCATTTTTTACTAGTTTATCTTTATTATCTTTAACTACACATGCTTCACTAAGTATACATAATTTTAGTAATGCTTATTATTTCTTTTATATAAGTTTATTTTTAGTTGTAGCTTCAATGTTTTTATGATTCCGTGATGTTATAAGTGAAGCTACATTTTTAGGTGATCATTCATTAGCTGTACAAAGAGGATTAAATTTAGGTGTTATGTTATTTATAGTATCTGAAGCATTATTTTTCTTAGCTATATTTTGAGCTTTTTTCCATAGTGCCTTATCACCTACTCCTGAATTAGGTGCTCAATGACCACCTTTAGGTATAGAACCTATTAATCCTTTTGAATTACCATTACTTAATACAGTTATATTATTAGCTAGTGGATCTACAATTACATATTCTCATCATGCTTTAATAAATGGTAATAGAAAAGCTGCTATATTAGGAGGTATATTTACTGTTATTTTAGCTATAGTATTTACTTTCTTTCAAGGGGTAGAATATAGTGAATCTTCTTTTACTATAAGTGATGGTGCATATGGTACATGTTTCTTTTTTGGAACAGGATTTCACGGATTTCATGTTATAATAGGTACAATTTTTATATTTGTAGCTTTATGAAGAATAATTCGTTACCATTTAACTGAAAATCATCATGTAGGACTTGAAGGTTCTATTGCTTATTGACATTTTGTTGATTTAATATGACTTTTTCTATATTTGTCCATTTATTACTGGGGTTCATAATACTAGATCAAATATGAGAACAAATTGAAATTCTTAATTATATAGATATATTTAATTTAAGTATTTTTTGTTTTATTATTTTATTTTTATATAAATCTTTTTATATTTATTTAAAGATTATTAATTTTAATATAAATGAACTAAATGTAATTTTTGTTAGTTTAGATAAAATTACATTTAATTTTAATGAATATTTAGAATTGGTTTTAATTTTATTTAAAAATATTTTTAATATAACAAATGAGTTTTTATTTTCTGCTTATAATATATTAAGTGAATTTAATTATATACCTTTATATTATATATATATAGTTTCTTCGATTTGTATATTTGCTTTATTATGAATCCGTAGCTCTCAGGTGTGGGGTAATAAATGGAAAATTATACACATGATAATTACTAACTTATTTTTTGTATATAGTTTAATATTATTTTTTATCTTTATGACATATTTAGTGTATTCATACACTAATTTATTTGAGTTCATTAATATAGATAATTTAAACTGAAAATATTATTATTTTTTATTCCGTATTTGTACTATAAGTATATTAATTTATAATATAGTATATTATTTTAATATGGGTAAAAATGAATTTGAAAGATATATTTTCAGATTTGGAGTGGGGACTTTAATTATAATATTAATTAATATTATATTTAATATGTTTTTTTTAGATCTAGCTATTGTATTTATAAATGGAAATGAATCACCTTCAGGTTCAAATCCTTTAAGTAATAACCCTGGAGGAGGAACACCTCGACCACCTGAAGGCCCAGATTATAGTAAAATTTTATGAAAACATGATAACTCAGAAGATTCAAGTAATAAATCTAGTATTACATCAAGTAATAACTCTGAAAGTTCTAGTAGTAAATCTAATACTACATTAATTAATAATTCTAATGAACCTAATGATAAAAATAGTCTTAAACGAACTGCAGAACAGGCTAATTTAGCTATAACAAGTAATAGAATTAATCCTAATATTTCTCAAAATAATTCTAATACTAGCATCCCTCAAAATACTAATGTTACTCAAAATATTCCTAATGTTCCAGAAAATATTATTAATGTTACTCAGAATACTTCTAATAATAATGTATATCAAAGTAATTCTAATACTGATATTCCTCAAAATTATTCTAATAATAATATTCCTCAAAATATTCCTAATATCCTTAATATTCTTAATATTCCAGAAGAAAATACAAGATATAAAAGATATTGAATTATTATATTGTCAGTTGAAGATGAATGTGTAAGACGTACAAGAGAACTTCATCCACAAATTTTTAAGGTAAGACAAGAAATTCGTGTAATGCAAAATCTTATTGATAGAGTTCCAGGGGGTTTAGCAGCTATGCAAAGTAGTATGAATTCTAATTCATATGTACATGGATTAGGATTTAATACTAATTCTTTAGGTTCTTTAATAGGATATAGTTCTAGTACACAACCTTTATTAAATCATATGGGGCTACAAACTCCATATGATCAATCAGTATTGCATTTTAGAGACCAAGCTTCTAATAGACCAGGAGCTCTTCCTTATGAAAGAGCAGATGGATCTCTTAGTTTCAATCGTCATAATCTTCAAGGTATTTATAATATTAGAGCGGGTACAACAATTGGAGAAGAATATACTTATAAAATTGCACAAAGAGTACATTTTGAAAGAGAATCTAATGAATGAAGAAGATTATCTCAAAATATTAGAATAGCATTCCCAAATATAGTAGACCCAAATCGTAGTTATGAACCAATTAATACTAACAATAACACTAATGTTGTTAATACTAATAATACTAATATTAATAATAATTATTAACTAACATTATTATATAATTTAAATTATATAGGGGTTTTTGTATAATGGTAATACATATGACTTTTAATCATCAAATTGTTGGTTCGAATCCAACAAACCCTAATATAAATTAAAAATTTACTTTTTATAATATATATAACAAAAAATAAATTTATTAATTAATATTTAATATAAAGAATTAATAACTTAATTGGTAAAGGACTTCCCTGTCACGGAAGTAGATATCGGTTCGATGCCGTTTTAATTCGTAAGCAGGAAAAGTAGCCATAGGTAAGGCGAGTCAATTGCTATTTGATGTCTTTTAGACCTGGAAGTTCGAATCTTTCCTTTTCCGTATAATTAAGAGTATAGTTTAATGGTAAAACAAGGAGCTTCAACCTCTTCGTTCTCTGTTCAAATCAGAGTGCTCTTGAATAAAATACATATTTATTATGTAAATAATTCCTGTTTATTTAGGTATTAAAAATTTTTTTTTAATGAATAATTTATTTATTATAAATGAAAGTTTTACAAATGGTTATAAAAGTGAAGTATTAGATATTATTTGTATATTAGTTATACTATCAGGTATATTTGTTATTATAAGTAAAAATCCTATTATATCTTTATTATTTTTGATAGGATTATTTGCAGGAATATCTTGTTATTTATTAATAATAGGTCTAAGTTTTTTAGGTTTATCTTATTTAGTTGTATATATAGGAGCAGTATCCATTTTATTTTTATTTATTTTAATGCTAATTAATGTTAGAATGAGTGAATTACAAAGTAATACAAATAACAGTATACCTTTAGCTATAAGCATAGCAATATTATTTAATTATCCTATCTTTCAATTATTACCTTATGATATTGCTATATTAAGTAATAATAATTATTTAAATAATATATTATATAATGTATCCTTTAACAGAATAAATATTACATCAGAAAACAATTTAAATATTAATAATAATGATATATTATTTGTTACAAGTAAAATATGAGATGGAAATTTAGCAGAAGTTGGTCATATTGCAAGTATAGGTAATATAATGTATACAAATTATAATATGTGATTAATTATAACTAGTTTCATACTATTACTTGCGATGGTAGGTGCTATAGTAATAACAATAAAGCAAAAAAATTAAATACATTCATTTTTATATTACTTTTATAGAAATAGTTATCTCATTATATACAATTATAAACAAATTTAACAAAATTAATTTATACTCTAATTCAATAAGGAGGTTTTCAGATGAAGAGACTTATTTTTTTTATAGATAAATAAAGGTAAAACTAGAAAGGATTGATAAATAATACCTAGATATATAATTAAAAAATACAGATTTATATTTATGAATACTGAAAGAAAATAATTATATCATAACTTTTTAAGTAACATAACATAATATAATAATTATATTTATAAAGAGGGATTAATTTAATGGCAAAATAATCGCCTTACACGCGAATAATCAGTGTTCGAATCACTGATCCCTTATTCTTTTTTAATTAAAATTAAATTCCTTAACTTAATGGTAAAGTGTGCTTTTGATAAGAGTATTATCAGCGTTCGATTCGCTGAGGAATTAAATACTCTTAAAGTAAATTAAAAATATATCTAATTTATAAATAAGAAGATTGTCCGAGAGGTTTAAGGAGGCATACTTGAAATATGTTAATTATATAAAATAACATTGGTTCGAATCCAATATCTTCTGAATAATTTACGGGTTAAGGCCAGTTTGGTAAGGCACTCTGTTTGGGTCAGAGAAATCCTATGTTCGATTCATAGTAACCCGAATAAAAATTATAAATTTTTAAGAAATATAAATGATACGAAATAAAAATTTATACATAAATCTATGTAAGTATATAAAGAGACTATTAGGGAAATTTAGCTATGTATTAAAGAGTATAAAAAATTTAAACCCAAATAATAAGGTTAATAAACTCTAAGAGAAATCAAATAATAAACGAAGTGAATTGAATTATCTTATTAGCTTCAGGAAAAGAAATCAAAAGAGATTCTATTATTAGCGAGAGTAAAAATAGAAAAGTCTAAATAATAAGTAAAATGGACATAAAGCTGTTTGAACTTTATGGGGAACCTTCCTCAAAGACTAAATATAATACATAAGCGATAGTAAATAAGTACCGTGAGGGAAAAAAAGTAGAAATAGTAGTTTTATAAGCAGCTCGAGTTTAAACAAGAGCGTACCTTTTGCATAATGGGTCACCAAGTTAATTTTAGGTGTGAGCAAACGCGTAGTTAAACCGATCATAAAAAAAATGAATAATATCTAAAATTAGACCCGAAGTACAGTGATCTTACCATGGTCAGGACTATAAAGGTCCGAACGGGTTATCGTTGCAAAGATATCCGAGGAACTGTGGTAAGTATAGTGAAAGACAATTCTGACTGTATTAGCTGGTTTTCTGCGAAACCTATAACAGTAGGCAATTTATGTTAAATCTTAGCAGGTACAGAACTTAATCTCAGACAAGATGTAAAATAAAAATACATTTTATTTTGTATACATCGGGGAATTATGAAGATTTTACCGGTGAGTTTGTGGACTCGGAATGGCAAAGATGAATCTTAAATTATCAGACATAGAATGATAAGGTTGTATGTCAAAAGGGAAACAGCCCAGAACAAGAGTTAAGGTTCCAAAGTTATTATTAAGTGAAATTAAGAAGGTTTTTTTCTAAGTCGACAAGGAGATTGGCTTAGAAGCAGCCATAATTTAAAGATCTCGTACCAGAGCACTTGTTAAATGTTAAAAGCATCGAAAATTTAACGGATCTAAATAATACACCGATACCTTGTCTATAAATAATTATAATTATTTATGGGGTAGCAGAACGTTGAGTAAATATTGGTATTTTTTTATATTAAAAAAAATATATTATAACTCAAGTGATAATGGTGACATGAGTAACTAAAAAGTACAATTAGATTTATAATCTAATTAACTCGCCTAAAGCTTATGGTGAATTTAAGTAACGGCCTCTAAGTTTATAACCTTAAGGTTAAAACGATGAGAAAATGCTAATTGCTATCAATGACAACATTTTTAAGTGAAAAGTGTTCAGGAAATAATTAGTAATATTTAGACCGTTCCTAGGAACTATAGAAAGTAAGCTAGTAGAGAATACGAAGGCGCATGAGATAACAATCTTAAAGGAACTCGGCAAATTGACTACCGTAACTTAGGGATAAGGAGGGCTCATTTATATTGATTAATATCAAGTATAAAGGAAGAAGCATAAAATAATGTTGTACGACTGTTTAATTAAAACAAAGCACTTTGCATAACGATGATAAATCTAAGTATTGAGTGTGATATCTGCCCGATGCCGGAAGGTTAACAATAGTAACTAAATTTTTATAGATTTGGTTTTTGCAGAATCCCCGGTGAATGGCGGTCTTAACGTGAGGATCCTAAGGTAGCGAAATGCCTTGGCCGTTAAATGCGGTCTTGCATGAATGATGTAACGATACAACAGCTGTCTCTAAGATTGACTCAGTGAAATTGGAATAACTGTGCAGATACAGTTTACCTCTAGGTAGACGAGAAGACCCTATGCAGCTTTACTGTTACTAATTATTGAATATAATTCTAACAACTTTTAGTATAGAAGGTTCATCGATTAGATAAAAATGAAATACCTTTATTTGTGTGTTATAGTATAAACCTTGAAAAAAGGAACAGTGGTTAGGAGACAGTTTATGTGGGGCACAGACCCCTTAAAGAGTAAAAGGGTGTATCTAAAAATATATCTTATATTAATATAAGTTAATTTTATTTTTTATTGTTTGTAATTATTTTTAACTTTGTTATATTTAATCATATATTTTGTGTAAAAAAATATTTTTTTTTTACATTATAATTAGGTAAGATTTTTTCTATTGAGAAATTAGTTGTAGTAAAAGATATTAATAAATGAATAATATTTTATTAGTTATTATAATTTATAATTATTAATAATTATGTTTAATACTTACCAAGCTAAATGGCTTAATCTTGCTTTACTGTTTGATTCACAACAAATCTTACAGTCGCGTAAGCGGGGCATTAGATCACAAGATGCAATAAGGAAAGATCTTGGATTATTGGAAAAGCTACGCTAGGGATGTTAGTCCTTCAATATTTAGATATAAATTCTAAATAATTGATATAATATTGGGTTAATTTCAAGAATTACTTATAAAAGTAAATTTGAAGCGAAGTTTATTTTTATATTAAAAATAAAATTGTTCAACGACTAAAGGTGAGTTATATAACAATAATCCTTACTTAATACCCAACATTTTTTTTTTATTTAATAAATTAGTTTTAATATTAATAATTTAAAAATTAAAAATAGTAATAATATAAAATTAAAAAATACACTGGATTTAAATAAAAGTAACATATTTACTAAATATATTAATAATAAATATAAGTTAGTACCACTTAAATCTTCAAGTTATTTTAATCCAAGTAAATATTATCCTTCTGAATCTAAAGAATGAACTAATAATATTTATTATTTTAATTCTAATTATATTAAAAATTTACCCGTTTATGATATAAATATAAATAAATTATTAAAAAATTATTTTGAATTATATTTAAATTTTAAAAAATATTCATCATTTAATAAAATATTTAAAAAATTTTCTATTAAAAAATATTCATCATTTAATAAAATATTTATTAGTAAAGCTGAACTAAAACACACTAGTTCTAAAGTTATCATTACTATATATGTTTTTAATAGAGAAAAAATTGTTTTACTAAAAAAATTAAAACTATTAAAAAGACCTTTAAAAAAAATTATAAAATTTTTTTATATTCATAAAGGTATATTAGATAAATATTTAAAAGATAAATTAAAAAGAAAAATTATTTTTTTCAAAAAAACTAAATTAAGATTTGATATTAATAATTTAAAATTTAAAGATATTTTATTATATAAATTAAGTAAATTATTAAGTAAATTTTATAAAAAAAAAGTAGAATTTAATATCATTAACTTAAATTCTTTTGAATATAATCCTACTATATTTACAGATATATTAAGAAGAAAAATGAGTTATAGAAAGGCTCGTATTTTAAAATTAACAAAATTCTTTTTAAAAAGAATGGAATATTTAGAAAAAATTAAAAATTTAGATTTAAACAAAGGGTTTATAAATGTGGATAATTATGGTATAGAAAACAGAGATAGAAGTATAAATATTAATACTTTAGTAAAAGATATTAATTTAAATGAAATTATAAAAAATTTATATAATACTAAAAATTATAATAATATAAAAATTATATTAAATTCTATAGAATTTAAAAATTTAGAAGGTATAAAATTAGAATTAAAAGGTAGATTAACTAGACGTTATAGAGCTGATAGATCATTATCTAAAATACGTGTAAAAGGAATTTTTAAAAGTTCTAATAATTTATCTACGGCTTATAGAGGAAATTTTTTTTCTAACTTAGAATATTCAATTGATATATCTAAACGTCGTATTGGAGCTTTTGCAATAAAAGGTTGAATTAGTGGAAAATAATAATATTTAATTAAAAATAATAAAAAAAAATGAAGAAATAGTCTGAACCATTTTGTAAAAAATGGAAATAAAATTTTATGATAACAAGTTGAACAGGCTAATTTGCGCAAGAGTGTGCAAAATGAGTGCGCGGTTTGGCACCTCGATGTCGGCTTAACTTATCCTCATGGATGCAGAAACTATGTAGGGTACGACTGTTCGTCGATTAAAAAGTTACATGAGCTGGGTTAAATAGCCCTATAACTATGTGTTAATTATTAGCATATAAGTTACGTATATATATTGGATTAATTGCAAGAAGAATTTATTTAAAATAAAGGAATTTGCAGCGGAGTTTATCTTTAGATAAAAAACGTTCAACGACTAATGGTTAATGGTATTTTTACCATAATCATACTAATATCCAATGCTACTTAAAAACAATTAAAATAGTACTAATATAAAATAAATTAAAATGAATAAAACTACTATGACTAGATATTTAAATTCACTTAACAAATTAGAAGATTATAAAAAGAAGTTACGTAGTAAATCTAAATTATCTTTATACTTAAATGATACCTTAATAGGTTTACTTTTAAGTGATGGTTATTTAGAAAGATCTTCACCTACAAGTGGAGTTCGTCTTACTATTAGTTTTGGTGCTAAGCATTCAGAATACTTAAATTATTTATTTAATCTATTTGAACCTTACACAAATACAAAACCTACTTCAACTAATGTGTATAATAAGAAAACTAACAGTAATAATGAAGTTTGAAGATTTAAAACTGTAAGTTTACCTCAATTAATTTATTATCATCAATTATTTTATAAAACTAATTCAAAAGGAAAAACAATAAAAATTATTCCTTTAAATATAGAAGAAATTATTTCTCCTGTAGTATTAGCACATCTTATAATGGGTGATGGTAACTTAAAAAGACCTGATAATATTATTCGTATTTATACAAATAGTTTTATGAAGGAAGAGGTAGATTTATTAGCTAAAGCAATAACTAATAAATTAAATATATTAACTAACGTAGTTCACGATAGAAATAATCAATATATAATAACTATTAGTAAAAATAAACTTTCATTAGTGCAAGAACTTATTAAATCACACATGCATCCTTCTATGTATTATAAATTGAATTTAGAAACAAATGGAATAGTTTTTAATTATAAAGATATACTAGAATTAAATGTATTTGATAAAAAATGCGTGGATTATCATGATGTTTATGGAATGTAATAAAATTTATAATTTAATTGTATTAAAAGTAGTAAAGACATAGTCTGAACAATATAGGAATATATTGAATCGATAGTTAATTATCGAGATAACAAGTTGTAAATACGTCGTGAGACAGTATGGTTTCTATCTTCTAGGGGGAATTAGAATATAATAAGGATTAACCTTGTACGAAAGGAACCTGGGCAACGCCTTATCTCCGAAAGGAGATAGCGGTTTTATTAACCTCTGGTTTATCTGTTGTTTATGTGCCCAGATATTAATTTAGGTATAATAATTATTATACAGGGATGTTACTTTCACTTAAGTAAATGTATAACATAGGCATGGCAGAAAAGCTAAGTTAGTCAGAGATAAGTACTGAAAGCATATAAGTACGAAGCTCACCTTAAGATATTTCTTAAATATACGTAAAATAATATTACGTAATAGGCTTAGTTTGTAATAATTTAGAGATTTTTAGATACTAAGTACTAATTTTATAAATAACTGAATATTTATCCGTATCTTATATTTAAAGTCTAGTTAGCATAAAAGTAATGCAATTGTTTTGTAATCAATAGACACAAGTGCGATACTTGTACTGGACTTATAATAATAATTTTTTTTTAATTAATTTTAAAAATAATTATTTTAATGAGTAATTTAATATAAAAATAATTAAATATTATAAATAATATAATTTTATTATAAACTTTTAAGTAATAGAAATAATAATTTAAAGGACTAGTAGACAAGTGGATATGTCATAGCTTTTTCAATGCTAATATCGCGGGTTCGAATCCTGCCTAGTCTAAATTTTAGAGGCTATAGCTTAATTGGTAGAGCATACTGCTCATGACAGTACTAATGAGTGTTCGACTCACTCTAGCCTTATGCTGCGGTTTGGTGTAATAGTAACATATGAGACTCATGATCTCATGTAAAAGGTGCAAATCCTTTATCCGCATTAATCCGAGTGCTGGAATTGGTAGACAGTGCAAGCTTAAGTTTTGCTGGTTAATAGCCGTGAACGTTCGAGTCGTTCCTCGGATAAGTATAAAATAAAGAAAAACTATACATTCACAATACAATATCTTTGTATTATAGCAACTGTAATTTAATGGTAAAATAATCAGTTTCCACCTGAAATTTATCGGTTCAATTCCGATTAGTTGTATAGGGGGTATAGTATAATGGTAATACGACTGGGTTGCATTTAGTCAATTTAGGTTCGATTCCTAATATCTCCATTAAAAAGCCCGAGAAGCTCAATTGGTTGAGCGAGACACTGAAGCTGTCTAGGTTGTAGGTTCGAATCTTACCTCGAGCATAAAATAGTTTATCAATATTAAATGGATGTGCTGAAATTGGTAGACAGGTTCTGTTTAGGCCAGAATGGTTTAAATACCATGCAAGTTCAAATCTTGCCATCTATATGTTTAATATGTTGTCGACTAATGGGTAAGTCATAAATTTTTGGTATTTACTATTGAGTGTTCGAATCGCTCCAACATAATAAAATATTTTTATTTTAGGTAGATATAGCTTAATAGGTAGAGCGCTTGAGTGTGGATCAAGCTGTTTTTGGTTCGAGTCCAAATATTTACCCTTTTTAATATAATAGTTAAAAAATATTTACATCTTATAAGCTTGAATAGTTTAAAGGTAAAACCTTATTTTCATACGATAATGATAGGTGTTCGATTCACCTTTCAAGCTAGACATTAACAAATATGTCTATTTTTATTAAAAAAATGCTTTTAATTTCAATATTATCTTTATTACTTTCTAATGCCGTTACTATACGACGAGATATATCTATACTTTTTAATAGAGTAGCTATAATTGCTTTAGTTTATTCTATATTACATAGTACAATAACTATATTTATTATGGGTAAAGGTATAAGTTTACACGGAGGTTTACTTAATATTACTAGTATTACACAAATTTTTGATATTTTTATATTTTTAATTAGTATATTAATTTTACAATTAACTAGTTTTTATCCTAGAAAAGTTTGGGTACCTGAACATTCTTCATTAACACAATTATTATTTAATAATTTTGTTTTTTATAGAACTAAAATTATTAATAAAATGGGAGAACATTTAAGAATTATAGAGTATCCTCTAATATTATTATTTATAATCACTGGAGCTGTTTTTTTAATTTCAACTAGCGATTTAATATCTGTGTTTCTTTCTATAGAATTACAAAGTTATGGTTTATATTTATTAAGTACTATATATAGAAATTCAGAATTATCTACTACAGGAGGTTTAATCTATTTTTTATTAGGAGGTTTAAGTTCATGTTTTATATTATTAGGTACAAGTTTATTATACGCTAATTCTGGTACTACTAATTTAGATGCTTTATACGCTATAACTAGTATTAGTGATAATACAGATTTATGATATAAACCTTTTTATATAAATTTTTCTTTACTTATATTTAGTATAGGATTTTTATTTAAAGTAAGTGCTGCTCCATTTCATTTTTGATCTCCGGATGTTTATGACGCCATACCTACAATAGTTACTACATTTGTTGCTATAATAGCTAAAATTTCAATATTTGTATTTTTATTAGAGATAGTATTTTATACTAGAAATTATTTTTCTGATTTTAATTGAACATATGGTTTATTAATTAGTTCTTTATTATCAATGATAATTGGAACTGTAGTTGGTTTAACTCAATTTAGAATAAAAAGATTATTTGCTTATAGTACTATTTCTCATATAGGATTTATTTTATTAGCTTTAAGTATATCTAGTGTAGAATCCACTCAAGCTTTTATTTTCTATTTAATGCAATATTCAATTAGTAATTTAAATGCTTTCTTAATATTAATAGCTATAGGATTTTCTTTATACTACTATATTAGTGATAATAAAGAATACAAAGAATTATTAGATAAAGATAATTCTCCAATACAATTAATTAGTCAATTAAAAGGTTATTTTTATATAAATCCTGCTTTATCTTTAAGCTTAGTTATTACTATATTTTCTTTTGCAGGTATACCTCCTCTTGTAGGATTTTTTGCTAAACAGATGGTATTAAGTGCTGCTTTAGATAATGGTTATGTATTCTTATCTTTGATTGCCATATTAACAAGTGTAATAGGTGCTGTATATTATTTAAATGTTATAAAAGAAATTTTCTTTTATTCACCTCAATATAAAGTAAATCCATTATTAAATAATTTAAATTTTAATGGTAATATATACAACAAACAAAATATTTTAATTAAATCTATTACTTTTAAATATAATAATATTGCAATATCTAGTCCAATAGCTATTACAATATCTGTAATAACATTAATTATATTATTATTTATATTTGTAAATAAAGAATGATTAAGTATGAGTACCATATTGGTACAATTTTTATTTAATTATTAAATGTCTAGTTTAAGTATATTATTTATATTAGTCCTTATTATTGCAGTTCTTTTTTTAGTTATTAACTTAGTATTTGCTCCTCATAATCCTAAACTTTGATCTGGGAAATCATTATATTGGGATAAACTGCCAAATTCCGGGGAACCCCTAAAGCTCTTGGTACTAAACCTTATATGAAAATATATAGGTGGCTGAAATAATTACTCAGGTATAGTAACAAGTCAAGAGATGATTGAAAAAGAAATGGGATATCGCGGATCTAAATCAAATAAGGGTAATACTTTATTTGTAAAAGAGCAACGAGTAGACGGTAGTTACATTGAATATTTTAATAAAAAAAATTTTTCAATGTTAAGGTATACTCTAGTGGGCTTCGAAAGAAGTTATCTAATCAAAATCCCTTCTAACTTTATAAATTTAAAAAGAAATTTTAGTACCTTAGAATATAAATTAAATCCTTTTTACGTCACAGGTTTTGTAGACGGTGAAGGTTCTTTTATATTAACTATAATAAAAGATAATAAATATAAATCTGGTTGACGTGTAGCTTGTAGATTTGTAATAAGTTTACATAAAAAAGATATAATGTTATTAAATAGCATTAAAGAATTTTTTAATACAGGTAGCGTATTCTATATGTCTAAGGACTCTGCACAATACCGTGTTGAATCTTTAACAGGTTTAGATATTATAATAAATCATTTTGATAAATATCCTTTAATTACAAAAAAACAATCAGATTATAAGTTATTTAAATTAGCCCATAATTTAATAAAAAATAAAAATCATCTTACTAAAGATGGTTTATTAGAACTTGTAGCTTTAAAAGCTGTAATAAATAATGGTATTAATAATGATTTAAGTATTGCTTTCCCAAATATTACTACTGTATTAAGACCTGAAGTAGAAGAGCCTCATATAATGAATCCTTATTGATTATCAGGGTTTGTAGAAGCAGAAGGTTGTTTTAGTGTTGTTATTTTTAAAAATAAAACATCTAAATTAGGTGAAGCAGTTAAACTAAGTTTTATAATAACTCAAAGCATTAGAGATGAGTCTTTAATAAAAAGTTTAATAGAATATTTAGGGTGTGGTAATACAAATTTAGATTCTAGAGGTACAATTGATTTTAAAGTAACTAATTTTTCTAGTATAAAAGATATAATCCTTCCTTTTTTTGTTAAATATCCTTTAATAGGTAATAAAAAATTAGATTTATTAGATTTTAATGAAATAACAAAACTAATGGAAAATAAATCACATTTAACTTTAGAAGGATTAAATAAAATAAAAGAAATCCGTAATAAGATGAATACTAATAGAAAATTACTTTAAAATCAATATATAAATTTATAAACACGAGAAATTTGGTTTAAACGTATCAAGAAAAATACTCTATTTTTGAATGTGGATTTCATAGTTTTTTAGGTCAAAATAGAAGTCAATTTACTATAAAATTCTTTATATACGCACTTATATTTCTACTTTTAGATTTAGAAATATTATTAATATTTCCTTTTGGAGTTAGTAGTTATACTAATGATTTATATGGATTAATTATAATTTTAGGTTTTATAACAATTGTTACGATAGGTTTTGTTTATGAATTAGGTAAAAATGCTTTAAAAATAGATAGTAGACAATCTATAATTAAAACTAATACAAAAAATATAAAAATATTTACATTATAATAAAACATAATTTAAATTATATTTTATAAATATATTATCATAAATAATATATTTAATGATTTATTAGTACCTTAGTGTATTTATAATTAATTAACATTAAAGAAGCATTAACAAAAACAAAATGAGTAAAAGTACAAGATAAATAAAAAGATGTACTAAAATTACTGGTTGAAATAATATAACTATGTATATATAATAAATAACATAAAGCTATGGTTCAAGTTGCTAAAATAATAGGGACTGGTTTAGCTACTACTGGTTTAATAGGAGCTGGAGTAGGAATCGGAGTAGTTTTTGGTGCCCTAATATTAGGAGTAGCTAGAAATCCTTCTTTAAGAGGACAGTTGTTCTCTTATGCTATTTTAGGGTTCGCTTTCTCTGAAGCAACTGGACTATTTGCTTTAATGATGGCTTTCTTGCTATTATACGTTGTTTAAAGGAAAATAAAAATAAAAATATAAAAATAACATGAAAAATTACTTAATAATTACATTTACTTTAACTCAAACAAAGGTACTAGCAATGTTAATTGCTAGTGGAATAATAAGCATAGGCAGTATGATTAGTTTAACAGATAGTATAGTTGGTTTAACAGAATTACTTTCACATAGACAAAACATAGAAAGTAATATTCCAGATTTAGTGCAAAATATAAATGATTTAATGAGTTTAATTTCAAGTATAAATTTAGATAGCGATTCTCGAATGCAATTAATAACTTTAACACCTCATATGTATGATATTTCTAGTATTTTAGATAACATTAATGCAGAATTAAACGGATTTATTCCAAGTTATAGTCCAAACCATTTTAATTATGACCCTAGAGTATTTAATATTGTAGATCCAACTCTTAATAATCTTGTAGAGATTAGACATAGACTAAACCCTGCTATAAGTGCATTAAGATGATTAACTGAAATAAATGCAAGTCTTGTTAGAGCAGCTGATATGAGCGATGAATTTAGTGATTTTCATACTGAAGCATTAGAAATTATAGAAAAATTTGATGAATTTTCGAAGACGCTTGATGTATTACTAGAAATAAAAGAGATTATTAATTCTCAATAAAGAATTTTTTAGATGTGTTTTACATTTAAAAATTTATTGCAAAAACTTGTTTTTTGTAATAACCCTGATAGTTTAATGAAAAATATAGTATATTAATATATATATTAAGATAAGTGTTCAAGTCACTTAAAGGGAACCTTTAAGATTTTAATTTAAACTTAAAATGATGGTTTTATTATTATAAATATATCATATAATAATTAATGATGTTATTAATATATATATTTAATGTTATTCTTTAATTCTATATATTATAAAAATATAGAAAAATTTTATTTTAGATAAAATATGAATTTATTTTTAAATAATTTAATTATTAAATTAGATGCACCTGAAGCTTGAGGGATTTATTTCCAAGATAGTGCTACACCTCAAATGGAAGGATTAGTAGAATTACACGATAATATAATGTATTACTTAGTAATAATATTATTTGCAGTAGGATGAATATTATTATCTATTATAAGAAATTTTACTATTAATGTATCACCTATATCTCATAAATATTTAAATCATGGTACATTAATAGAATTAATTTGAACTATAACTCCTGCTGTTATATTAATTTTAATAGCTTTCCCTTCTTTTAAGTTATTATACTTAATGGATGAAGTTAGTGATCCTTCAATGTCTATTTTAGCTGAAGGACATCAATGATATTGAAGTTACCAATACCCTGATTTCCTAGATTCTAATGAAGAATTTATAGAATTTGATTCATATATAATACCAGAATCTGATTTAGAAGAAGGAAGCCTAAGAATGTTAGAAGTAGATAATAGAGTAATAATTCCAGAATTAACACATATTAGATTTATTATAACATCAGGTGATGTTATACATGCTTTTTCTTGTGGTTCTTTAGGTATTAAATGTGATGCTTATCCTGGTAGATTAAATCAAGTATCTGTTTTCGTTAATAGAGAAGGAGTTTTTTATGGACAATGTTCTGAAATATGTGGAATATTACATAGTTCTATGCCTATTGTTATTGAATCTGTTTCTCTAGAAAAATTTTTAACATGACTTGAAGAACAATAATATTTATATATAATTATTTTTAAAATAATTGTATTAATAGGTGTGTTGGCTTAATTGGTAAAGCATAGTAGTACGGTTACTAAGATTTTGAGTTCGAGTCTCTTACACATCAAAATAGTTTCTTATGCATAAATTGTACTTACCTACATATTTCCTACCCTACCTACCCCCCCCCCTTTTTTCATAATATAAACTAAACTATTTAAATAATTCATATCTAACAGTATACCGAACCCCTGATTTAGTTATAAACAGTGGGTTCGCATGAGACAAATAGCAGTTATAAATATGAATATAACTTTAATAATTTTTTTAATAGGTACGTTAGGATTTGTACTTAACAGAAAAAATATTATCTTGATGCTTATTTCAATAGAAATAATGCTTTTATCTATAACATTCTTAATATTAATCAGTTCATTAAATACTGATGATATAATAGGTCAAACCTATGCAGTTTATATAATAATTGTAGCTGGAGCTGAATCTGCAATAGGTTTAGGTATATTGGTGGCCTTTTATAGATTAAGAGGAAGTATCGCAATAACATATAAATAATGTATTTAACTATTATATCTTTACCTTTATTAGGATCTATAGTTTCCGGTTTTTTTGGTAGAAAAGTTGGAGTACACGGAGCACAAATTATAACCTGTACAAGTATAATAATTACTACTATCTTAGCAATCGTAGCTTTTTTTGAAGTAGGTTTTAATAATATTGTTTTATCTATTAATTTATTCAGATGAATAGATAGTGAATGATTCAATATTATATGAGGATTTCAATTTGATAGTTTAACTGTATCTATGTTAATTCCTGTATTAATTATTAGTTCTTTAGTTCATCTTTATTCTATAGGTTATATGAATGGAGATCCCCATAACCAAAGATTTTTTAGTTATTTAAGTCTATTTACATTTATGATGATTATATTAGTAACAGCTAATAATTATTTATTAATGTTTGTAGGATGAGAAGGTGTTGGAGTCTGTTCTTATCTTTTAGTAAGTTTCTGATTTACTAGAATAGCTGCAAATCAAAGTTCTATGTCTGCTTTTTTAACTAATAGAGTAGGTGATTGTTTTTTAACAATAGGAATGTTTGCAATATTATGATCTTTAGGTAATTTAGATTATAGTACTGTATTTTCATTAGCACCTTATGTTAATGAAAATATTATAATAATAATAGGAATATGTTTATTAATAGGTGCTATGGCCAAAAGTTCTCAAGTGGGTCTTCATGTTTGATTACCAATGGCTATGGAGGGTCCTACTCCTGTTTCAGCTTTAATTCATGCAGCCACAATGGTTACTGCTGGAGTTTACTTATTAATGCGTTCCTCTCCATTAATAGAATATAGTTCAACTATACTATTATTATGCTTATGATTAGGAGCTATAACTACTGTATTTAGTTCTCTTGTAGGTTTTTTCCAACAAGATATAAAAAAAGTTATTGCTTATTCAACTATGTCTCAATTAGGTATGATGGTTATAGCTGTAGGTTTATCTTCCTATAATCTTGCATTATTCCATCTGGTTAATCATGCCTTTTATAAAGGATTATTATTCTTAGGTGCAGGAGCAGTTATACACGCAATGGCTGACAATCAAGATTTTAGAAAATATGGAGGATTAATATCCTTTTTACCTTTAAGTTATTCTGTTATATTAATAGCAAGTTTAAGTTTAGTAGCTTTCCCTTTTATGACTGGATTTTATAGTAAAGATTTCATATTAGAATCTGCGTATGGACAATATTGTTTTAGTAGTATTACTGTTTATATTATAGCTGTAATAGGTGCTATATTTACTACTTTATATTCAGTTAAAGTTCTTTATTTAACTTTCTTAACTAATCCTAATGGACCTTTAATAAATTATAATCATGCTCATGAGAGTGATATATTTATGAGTTTACCTTTAGTTATATTAGCTATATTTTCTATATTTTTTGGATTTATAACTAAAGATATTTTTATTGGTTTAGGTTCAGGATTTTTTTTAGATAATAGTATATTTATTCATCCTAATTCTGAAATAATGATAAATACAGAATTTGGTGTTTCTACTTATTGAAAATTATTACCTTTTGTTTTTACTGTTTCTTTTAGTATTATAGCTATAATATTATCTGAATTCTTATCTGAACTTGTAGTTAATTTCAAGTTATCTATAATTGGTAAAACTATCTTTGGATTTTTTAATCAAAGATTCTTAGTTGAATTCTTTTACAATAAATATATTACAAATTTAGTTTTAAATTTAGGAGGACAAACTGTTAAAATATTAGATAAAGGAAGTATAGAATTATTAGGACCATATGGACTAGAAACAGGTTTAATTAAAGTAAGTAAAAATATATCTTATTTAAATCAAGGAATAGTAACTAATTATGCTTTATTTATTCTAGTTGGATTTATTACTTATAATATAGTTACATTATTTGTAGGAAACATTTCAATTTTAATAACATTAATTTTATTATTAATATTACTTTTACCTCTTAATTTTATTAATTCTAATAATTAATTATAATACACATAGTATAATATAATTATATTTTAGTATACATTACATAATAATACCTAAAAATAACGGTCCTTATCGCAAATAAAATAAATAAAAAACTAAATGAGAATAGTAAAAAATAATTCGATTTTAAAATTAGTAAATTCTTATCTTATAGATGCATCTCAACCTAGTAATATTAGTTATTTATGAAATTTTGGTTCATTATTAGCAGTATGTTTAGGAATACAAATTATTACTGGTGTTACATTAGCTATGCATTATAGTCCTAGTATATTAGAAGCTTTTAATTCAGTAGAACATATCATGAGAGATGTTAATAATGGATGATTAGTTCGTTATTTACATAGTAATACTGCATCAGCCTTCTTTTTTTTAGTTTATTTACATATAGCAAGAGGTATTTATTACGGATCTTATAGATCACCAAGAATATTAACTTGAACTATTGGTGTAATAATATTTATACTTATGATAGGAACAGGATTCTTAGGTTATGTTTTACCTTATGGTCAAATGTCTTTATGAGGTGCAACAGTTATTACTAATCTTATTAGTGCTATACCTTGAATTGGTCAAGATATTGTTGAATTTATTTGAGGTGGTTTTAGTGTTAATAATGCAACTTTAAACAGATTTTTTTCATTACATTTTTTATTACCTTTTATTTTAGCAGCTTTAGTTTTAATGCATTTAATAGCACTTCACGATACAGCTGGGTCTGGTAATCCTTTAGGAATTGCCGGTACTTATGATAGAGTACCTTTTGCTCCTTATTACTTATTTAAAGATTTAATTACTATTTTTGTTTTTATATTTGTTTTAAGTTTTTTTGTTTTCTTTATGCCTAATGCGTTAGGAGATAGTGATAATTACATAATGGCAAATCCTATGCAAACACCAGCTGCTATTGTTCCTGAGTGATATTTATTACCTTTTTATGCTATATTAAGATCTATCCCTAATAAATTATTAGGTGTTATAACAATGTTTGCAGCTATATTAGTACTACTTACTCTACCTTTCACTGATTTAGGTAGATCAAGAGGTTTCCAGTTTAGACCTTTAAGTAAATTAGCTTTCTATTTATTTGGAGTAATTTTTATAACATTAGGTCGTTTAGGTTCAGTACATGTAGAAGATCCATTTATTTTAATGGGACAAATATATGCTACAGCATACTTTGCATATTTTTTAATTATACTACCTATCATTAGTATATTAGAAAATACTTTAATAGATTTATCTATTAAAAAATAAATAAATTTATTTTTTAAATAATTGGTTCGAATTTTATCTTATAATTTATAAGATTCTAACTGATCAACGTTAAATAAACAATGGGTTCCTGAAAAAAATTTGTCAAAATGTTAGATATGAATTATTTAAATAGTTTAAGTTTGAAATGAAAATTGGGTATAGGTATTCAAGGGGACTATTCTTTTCAACGTAAGGAATTAATAGCACACAATTTAAATAAAAATGTAGGAAGTGGTATAGGAAATAATAATGTTCCATCAATGTCAGAGGGACCAAAGATAATAGAAGAATTAGCTAAACCAGCTTTAGAAAAAACATCTAATATAGTAGAATCAGCAGTTTATAATTGATATCCTATAGATTTACATGTAGGCCCTCCTATTGTCGAAGGTTGTAAAGTTTTTAAAACAAGTCAAGCAGTAGATATAATAAGATTTGTACCTACAGAAGATACTTATAGAGCAATGCTAGAAGCTTTTCAATATCATAGTGATATTATAAAT